CACATACCCACACACACACACTCACACACACACCACACACAAACATGGACACACAGGCACACGCACACATACCCACACACTCACACACTCACACACACACCACACACAAACATGCGCACACAGGCACATGCACACATACCCACATACTCACACTCACTCATACAAACACACACCCACTCACACTGCCCCCCACACAGAGGGACTGCAGTGCAGTAGCTCTTTCAGCCTCTAGAGGGGGAAGCTTGTGGGCCAGGGGCAGGAGCTCTTTGGGGGTCTCTTGTGGCAGCAGGCTGGTACTGCAGCATTAGCATCACCAAGAGAAACCACCTTAGGACAGCAGGGGTGTACTTTGATATGGTGCCCAGCTCCTTACCTGTCGTGGACCCTGGTAGAGTCAGTGAGCTGTCACACTCTCTGCTCTCCGTCTGTTAAACTGCTTCTTAACAATGTTCGCTTGCAACTTACTGTGGCAATCATAGCAAACATACTCAGTGTGCAGTGCCGAGGGAGTACCACACTGTCAGACATGCTGTCTCCTCAGTGAGACATCAGATCAAAACCTCTCCGACACCCCACCCCCTCACCATCCTTCATCTCAGGCAGACGTAAAATATTGGAGATGGTTCAGAAAAGATTTACCAGGATCTTGCCGGGAATGGAGGGTTTGAGTTATAAAGGAGAGGCTGGATAGGCTAGGACTTCTTTCACTGGAGCGTAGGAGGTTGAGGGTTGACCTTATGAAGGTTTATAAAATCATGAGGGGCATGGATAGGGTGAATGGCAGATGTCCTTTCTCTAGGATGAGGGATTTCAAGGTTAGGGGGAATATTTTTAAGGTGAGAGGCGAAAGATTTAAAAAAGGCGTGTGGATCAACTATTTTACACAGACAGTGGTTCGTGTGTTGAATGAACTTCCAGGGGAAATGGTGGATGTGATTAAATGACATTTGGATAAGTACATGAATAGGAAAGGTTTGGAGGGATATGGGCCAGGAGCAGGCAGGTGGGACTAGTTTACTTTGGGATTATGGTCGACAAAGACTAGTTGGGCCGAAGGGTCTGTTTCCGTGCTGTATGACGCTATGACTCCATTTCCTTTGGATGAATTGCTGTGTTTGAGCCGATATTACTGCATTTTCAAATAAGATGTTGTTTGCGGGAGCTTGTCGTGTTCAAATTAGTTGTTGTCTCCACTACATTATAACTGAGCATGTTTTCAAAGTACTTCACTGGTGGTAAAATGTTCTCAGATGTGCTGAGGTTTTGAAAGACTCTGTATAAATGTATAATCAGATTAGGCTGTTATGTTATTGAAAAGACACTTAAACCACAATCAGACAGCTCGGAGAGGAGTTTCACACACACACCCACACACACTAACTGACACACACACACCCACACACTCACATACACAAAAACTCACACACAAAAACACACACACATGCACACATTTTGACACATATACACTAGCTTGTACACAGAAACAATCACATACATACACACACATACACTAACTCTCACACACACATAGACACTAAGTTACTCCCACATGTGCGTGCACACGCGCACATACACATACACACACACACACACACACACACACACACACACACACAAATACACACTTCTCTACTTGGATAAATCTAAGACAGTTCTAACATTAACTTCTCCCCATTTTTCAGGCCAATTTTGTTTTCCTCATTCTGACGATATGGAAGCTGGCCCTGAAATTTCATACCGTGAATCCAGACCTATCGAACTTACAAAAACTCAGGTACAGGATTCACACTGGAGCGCAACACTGTTAATTTAAACAGCACATCACACTGACTCCAGCGCCTTGATATTTACCCTGAACCACTTCGATTGCCACGACATTGCGTCCAAGTGGAGTGAACTCCAGTATGACGTGGGAGCCCTTGTGCTGTGATGGTAGTGTCTCTACCACTGAGCCAGGAGACCCAAGTTCGAGGTCCATATGTGTCAAAAACTGGGAATTTAGCTAAAGTTTGAACTGGATAATGGGATGTGAGACTGTGCAGCGAATGGTTCCTGTACAGAGCAAAGTCAATCTTATGTACGAGACCTAAGGGAAAGTAATACAGCCCACCCTCAGTGCAGAGGAACCCAGTTAATCGGGCAGATGGTGCACCCAGATGTTTCTTGCATCATTACAGGATAGTGTGCTGAATAACTCAACACATTCACCACTTGTTCGACAAAGAGACAATTGCCAACATCAAATCATTGCTTTGAATATGTCCTAAATCTGACAATGGAAGTATTATCTATCATCCTGTAATGATTACGAGACAGTATATCCCTGAAAGCACCTTTAATGATTACAGCACAGTGTAATGGATCAATAAATGTGG